GTCAAGTGTCTGAGGTCAGATTTGAACTCAGATCCTCCTGACTCCAGGGCTGGTGCTCTATCCACTGCGACATCTAGCTGCCCCACCCTTCGGTTTTAACAGGCAATTCAAGTATGTTTGAGGTCTGTTCCTGCCCCTTTGGACAAGAAATGATCCCCTCTACTTCTAAAGCTGTATCTCATAAGTCAAGGACCAACCCTCCCAAAACACCTTTTTGTCATCTATTTTGTTAACGAGTAGGATTTGCATTTGGGACAACTCTGGAATGGTCTTGAGACTCCGTCCCCTTCTATTACAAGAATATGATCATTCTCCGTGCCCCCCTCCTCTACCCCCGGATCAGGCCATTGGTTCATCTACTGGAATCTGTCTCGGGAAGCCACTAGAAGGCTCTAGAATCTAGAAGCATCCCAGGATGTCCACAAACACAAGTGAGCGACAACTGAAGGCCCTTTAGCAGGCCCAGTGGAGAGTACAGGCTACTTTGCTCTCAGCCTTCTGACCAACTCATGACCCACAAGGGTCACCTTTGAGGCCAGCCCTACCCTACCCTTGTCTATATCTCAGACGGCTTGGGGCTGCCCAGCTAAGTCAGGAATTCAGGCCCTGACTATATGGCTATTTCCAGCCCAGACAGATATTAAAAGCCCTGACTTGGCGCGGACGGGACCAGGGCGGGGGAAAGAAAAACCTTTGGAGAAATCCCTGCAGAGCTCGGCGGCTGAGCTCAGAAGCCCTGGTTTGGCCCTGACTCCCCTCTCATGGAATGGGTTTTTGAAAAATCCAGCAAGGTCTCATTAATATTTCACACCCCCTGACCTCCACAGCATTCCCCCTGCTGGCCTTGCTCCCTGGCCAGCTCCAACTCCTGTGGGCAAAAACTGAGGGGAGTATGTATGGGTTGGGCTGCCAAGTGGAATTTCCTGTTGTAGACTGTCTCTTCCTCCTCCTGCCCCCAACCGCCATGTAACACCTATATTAGGATAATAGGATCTTAGAGCTGGAAAGGAATCTGGAGGTCATCTAAGAGAGACATTTTACAAATAGGGAAATTGAGGCTCGGGGAAGGAAAAGGATTTTCCTAAGGTTACATAAGTAGGAGAAGCAGAGAACCGTCTTTGGACTCCAAATCCAGTATTCTTTCCCCCTCCCCGTTACTGAGACTAGGCCAATCACAAAGACTAGAGGGACCCCATTAGATCCTCTGGGCTCCTTTGAACCCTGACCACTGAAGTCAGGATGTAAAAGGACCCACAGGTTCAAAGAGATGCCAACGACTCTTTTCCCTGTGACTGGCTCTCCTTCCCGGCCAGCAGTACCTTTTCCCATCTTTTCCCACCTTTTCCCACCCTCCCAAACACAGAACAGGATCCAATCTCAGCTTTTTCCTTTAATGAAAAAGACCGTTTAGGAGACACCGAGTCCAGCACAAGGGGCACCTTGCAAGATGCCCTCAGGCCACGTTGGCTCCCACCTGGCGCTTTTGGCCTGTGCCTGCCTACCTTACCCCGGGCCAAATCCAGCAGGGACGGGAGTCTGCAGATCACCTGTCCCATCATTCCCTCTCCTACACTGAGTATTTAATCAGCCGTAAGATCAAACGGGGCCGCCTCCGTGCCGTATGAATCTATGATGACATCGCCAATAAATGGAAGTCTGAAGACCTCCAGGGACAGGGCGCCCCTACCCCCAGGGCAGTCTGTTTCTTTGTCGGACAGATTTCTCCTAAATTTCTTTCCTGCAACTTCCTTTCAATGATCTTAGATCTGACCTCCAGGGCCAGGCAGAACAGGTCTCAAATAGGGGACATCATCCCTCTTCCACATGACAAACCTTCAGATATTTGGGGAAAAACCCAAACCGTCATGTCTCTCCCATCCCCCACATCTTTTTTCCTCCAGGCTAACATCCCCAAATTCCTTCAGCTGATTTGGTACGACATAATTTTCAGGGCCCTCAGTGTGCTGTCCAGCCTTCAGCTGCACTCCGACTTACCAACGTCCTCCCTAATGCTGTCCTCTAAATGTCTGAACACAGTAAAGGGCGGCATGTCTCCCACCTTCTTCCCTCTCAATGTTTTTTTCTCTCTTCTACAACCCAGGACTGGACAAAGCTTTGGGGGCTGCAACGTCTGTGTCGCTTCATATGGACCTTGTGGTCCACTGAAATCCCCAGATCCTTTTCACATGATCTTTCTGGCTGCATCTCCCCCATCTTGTCCTTGTGTAGTTAATTTTTTGAACCCAAGAGCAGAGCTTTGCATTTATGCCTGTTAAATTTCATCTTGGTTTGTTGTTTTTTTTTTTGAAGCTTGATCTTGGTACCGAACTGACATCAGCTCTGACCTTAATGGGTCCATGGGGGCCGAAGGAAACTGCTCCAGCTCTCCTTCCACTTGCCTTTGCTTCTGCCCATCCCTTTGGCTCTCACTCCAGCCTCAGTTGCTGCTGGTTTTCCTGGAAGTTGGGCAGCATGGGGTAGGGAATGGGGCAGTGGACTGAAAATGAGAGTGAAGAGCCCTGGGTTCTAGTCCTGGGTCTTCCACTCTCTGTGTCCTTGGCTAAGTCCCTTCCCTTCTTCGGGCCTCAAGGTCCCCATCTGTTAAATGAAGGGGCTGGCCGAGAGAGTCTCTGAAGCTTCCAAAGAATTCTCTCAAATCCCCCTTCCACCTGGCCCACCCCAAGCCCTCTGCCTGCCTCCTCTTCTCCGTGTCCAAGCCCCTTCTCCTCAGCTCTTCTGGTTTCTTTTCTCCCTGGATCTCTCATCCCCACCCATCCTGCCAATGGCCCTCTGTACCTCTTGTGCCCTTTGCCCCCTTCGTCTCTGAGTCCCGCATCTTCCCTACTTGCAGTCTTTCCTCACGTGGCTTTTCTGGTTTGTTCTCCTCGCCGGGGTTCAGGCGGCCACCCTGCAGACCCCTGCCTCCTCCCCTGGTATCCCAGAGGGTCGAGGAAAGGGCGCTAGAAGGTCCAGAGCAGGTGGAGGGTATAGCGAAGGCGCTGACGCAGGGCCTCACTGCAGCCGTGGCGCTGCAGGACGCCCAGTGGATGGGAGGTGGCCTGCCGCTCCTGGTCAATGTAGGTGAGCAGGGGTTCCTCCCCGGCCCAATTCAGGAGCAGTTTGGTGTGGTCATGGTAGAAGTTGACCTGGCCGGGGTGGGCAACAAAGGATGGTAAACCCTTCCATTCTGTATCTTGCCCGAGTAACTGGTGCCCAAAGCTGATGATAAGGACAGACGTGGGTTTAGGCACCAGCTGGTCACAGGGACCCCTCCTCGCCTCTCCCTCCATCCCATGCTGCAGTAGGATAATGTCTCAGAGGCTCCCTCTCGCTGGGGGAGTCTTAGAGTAGGAAAGCGTTCTGGATATCAACCTCATTTTATAGATGATGACACGGTCCCAGCGTGGTCAAGTAACTTGCCCGAGGTCACACAGCTAGTTGCTAGCAGAGCTGACTCCTTGCCTGGGGTGCTCTCTACTACCCCCGACACTTCCTAGTAGTTTGTGTGATCTCGGGGACCTGAGTCTAGAAGCCCCTTCCTAGGGACAGAGGGCAGCCGTGGCTGGGGCTGGGCTTTGGTCCCAGACCCTTCCAGGCTACCTAGCATCCCTTTCCTTCCCCCTGACATCCTTACCTGCATTGTCTGATTGCTGAAGAGCAGGAGCAGGGCCTGGTCCGACTTGAGGAAGTGGAGCAGGGAGAAGCCAGGGCCAGGGCTCAGACTGGGCTGTGCAGGAAGTTTCCCACCCTGTAAGGAGGACAAGAGTAAAGGAGCCAAGGGTTGGAGAGACAGGAAGGGCACCAGAGCCTCCCTGTGCCCGCCAGACCCAGCCTCACCTCTAACAGCCACCGCTGCATGTAGCGGGTGAAGAGCTGCAGCACCGCCACTTTGGTGGCCAGGGAGTCAGGAATATCCCTCCAGGTAAAGGTCACCACCTCACCCTGAACCGGAGAGTAGCTTATGCACCTGTGGGAGGGGGCCCAGAATAGATGTAAGGCTGACAAGGGGGCAAAGATCTCAGGTTACCAGGCCCCTTCCCAGGGGACGAGCAATGGGAGCCAGCAGGTAGAGGAGCAGAGACTTACCCCCACCCCCGATGGACCCGAGGGCCAGGGACTCACCCCAGGGCCGGCTGGAGAGCGATGTGGGTGCCATCCCGGAGAAGGACCCCAGTGCTGCCGTCGGAGAGCTCGTAGCCAAAGCCGTACTTGTTAGAATAATCCACCCACTTGGTGGCCCACAGTACCGGCTGCTGCCGCCCGGGTGGGTCCTGCTCCCCTGAACACACGGAGGACAAGGTAAGCTAGCAATTGTCCCCTCAGGCAGCATCCCGAGAGCAGGGGCACCAGAGCGAAAGCTTTGGCAGAGAGAGGAAGAGGGAGGCAAGTCTCCAAAGAATGAGGACTTAGGGCTAACCAGGATGTCGGACATCCCTCATCCTACAGTGGAGGAAAGAGGGGCCCAGCTGGGGTAAGCGGCTGGCCCGAGGTCACTCAGTAGATCAGTTGCAGAGCCTGAACCCAGACCCTTAGTCTGTGTCTAGGAAGGCGGATGGAGATTGGGGGTGGGGCGCCTACCTGCTGGCATAAAGTCCAGGCAATTCTGCAGGAGCCTGGTAACCACCTCAGCCCCATCACCTGGGATTCCTGGGGACTCTGGGAAAATAGGAAAGATAGATAATGAGCTCCCTGTTGCTAAAAGTATTCAAGTGGAGAGTGGGCTGCCACTATCAAGAACATTGTAGGGGGCAGCTAAGTTGTGCAATGGATAGAACACTAGTCCTGGAGTCAGGAGGACCTGAGTTCAAATCCAGCACTTTACAGTTCCTAGCTATGAGACCCTGGACGAGTCACTTAACCCTGATTGCCTCACCAAAAAAAAAAAAAAAAAAAAGAACGTTGTAGAGAGAGTTCCTGCCCAGGCAGGTGTCAGATCAGACACCCTCTGTGATCTCTTCTATTTGTGAGATTCTGAGACAGCTTAGCATCCTCGGGGAGTCTCAGAACCCACAAGCACCAAAGATTTTGTTCTCTACTAGCTACGATAGCCAAGCATGATTGCACAATCCAGCTGTGGCCCTGGCCGGTCACAGAACTGCATGGAATATTTTTTTTAGGGCTGGAAGGAATCTGAGGTTCAGTTAATTTTATAGATGGAGGGGCAGCTAGGTGGCGCAGTGCATAGAGCACCGGCCCTGAAGTCAGGAGGACCTGAGTTCCAATGCGGCCTCAGACCAAACACTTGACACTCACTAGCTGTGCGACCCTGGGCAAGTCACTTAACCCCAATTGCCTAAAAATAAAAAAAAAATAAAATAAAATTTTATAGATGGAAAACTGAGGCCCTAGAGATTAAGTGATTTGTCCAAAGTCACAAGCCATGTCAGTGGCAGAGCTGGTAAGAGAACCAAGGAATCCTTCCCCCTCTTCCCCACTTCCCCCTCCCCAGATATCCCTTCCCAAGCCTCCATCCTTGCAGACAAGGCCTTCTTCCACCTCCCTTCCTTCCATCTCCTCCCCTTTCCACAGGTTTGGGCAATAGAAATGTTAGGGGGGAAGGGGGAAGGGATCAGTGCCAGCTTACCTTCTGTGCCCGGCAAGTGACCCCTAAGGCTTCTCCCCCTAAGGCTTCTCCGTAGGAGCAGGTGGATAGGGGTCTCCAGGTAGGGTACTTGGGGACGAGTTTGTCCCTCAGGAGCTTCAGCCTTGTGGGGAGGATGAGAAAGGCCCTAAACGATGAATAGGAAGGGAACAAATAAGCAATTATTAAGCACCCACTGTGTGCCAGGCACTGTGCTAAGTGCTTTACAATTATTATCACATTTGATCAACAGTCTTGGGAGGAAGGTGCTGTTATTATCCCCATTTTACAACTGAGGAAACTGAGACAGAGGTGAAGTGACCAGCCCAGGGTCACACAGCTAGTTAGTGTCTGAGGCTGGATCTGAACTCAGGTACTCCTGACTCATTTCAGCACTTTATGCACCGGGCCACCCAGCTGCCTGAGGCCCGTCCTCCCAATTTACAAGATTCCCTCCTCAGGACAATCCTTTCAGGCAGAATCCACGTGTTATTACCCTCCATTTTGAGGTGAGGAAACTGACATTCAGCAAGGTAGTGACTGGCCTACGGTCACACATCAAATTGTGACAGAGCCAGGACTAGAACTCAGATCTCCTAGCTCCCAGGCCTGGGCTCTCTGTGGCTGAAAACCCCATCCAGTACTTTGAGGTCAAGTTCCTGTCTTACTCCCTTTGAAAATCTGCCCTGAACTCTCTTCTCTTTCCTCTGTGACCCTAGACAATGATGGACTCTTACATGGAATGTCAGGACCTTAGAACCCAGGATGTTGGAGGCTAGGAGGGCCCTTAGATCCCAGGATGTCGGGGCTGGGAGGGCCCTTAGAACCCAGGATGTCGGGGCTGGGAGGGCCCTTAGATCCCAGGATGTCAGGGCTGGGAGGGCCCTTAGATCCCAGGATGTCGGGGCTGGGAGGGCCCTTAGAACCCAGGATGTCGGGGCTGGGAGGGCCCTTAGATCCCAGGATGTCAGGAGGGCCCTTAAAACATAGGGTGTCAAAGGTGGAAGAGATCTTAGAACAGGGACTGTCAGAGAAAGCAGAGACTATTAGGGCAGGAAGGAAACTTAGGGGTCACCATCTACCCCCTCATCTTACAACTAAGGAACCTGAAGACTGTTAATGGGAAGAGTCATGGAAAGAATAAGGGATGGAAGCCCCCTTGGACCACATGTGACCAACATTGCCCCCACCCTCCTGTCCCAGGCAGGACTCCTGGACCTCTCACCTCTTTGGCTGCCTCCCTGGGAGTTTTCAGGGGGTCCTCTGGGGCTGGGGCTGTTGGCATCTTTGGGACAAATGATCCTGGAAAGCGAGAAGCGGGGAGAGAAGAGGTGAACGAGGGTGGTGTCTTTGACCTGCCCCTGGCCGCTAGGCACGGGGACTGGCCTTGGAAATGCAGGCTCCTGCCTCTTCTTCCACACCCACACGACTCACGTGGGGCCCGGCGTTGGGTCACAGCCAGGAACAGTTGGGTGGCCTTCTGAAAGAGTTTGTCCAAGGGTTGGGGGATGGTGAAGATGGGTGCTGTGTGGCAGGACCTTGGAGGCAATTGGTCTGGGGTGAAGCCCTGCAGGGGAAAGAAGGGGGGAGAACTCATCAGTGAAGTAACAGAGTAAAGTCAACAACATATAGTAGAAAAATCCCTCTAGGGAAGCTAGGTGGCACAGTGGATAGAGCACCACTCCTGGAGTCAGGAGGATCTGAGTTCAAATCTGACCTCAGACACTTACTAGCTGTGTGACTCTGGGCAAGTCACTTAACCCCAATTGCCTCAAAAAAAAAAATCTCTCCCCACAGAAGGTAGGGAGGCCTTGGCTCTGGAGTTAAGAGGACCCGGGTTCAAATCTTGCCTCAGTCACTTACTACCTGGGTGATCCTGGGCAAGCAGGCATTTCCCCAGCCTAGGCACTGGTTTGCTCATCTGTAAGGTGGGATGGCTGACCTAGATGTCCTCCGAGGACCTTTCTAGCTCTAGATCTTCACACTACAGCCCTTTCCCCTTCTCTAGGCCTCAGTGTCCTCATCTGTAAAATGAAGGGACTTGAGTACAGTCTCTAAGGTCACTTCCAGCTCTAATCCTAGCCTTGTGAATGGCCAAGTCTTCCTTTCCCTGGGCCTCCACTTCCTTCTCTGTAAGAGATGCACAGTCACCTCTCCCTTCCCTTTTCCCCAAACCCAGAGACATAACAGCAATAATAATCATAACAACAGCAGCTGCCATTTGTACGGTGTCTTCAGGTATATGTCAACCATTCTCTGTTTGAGCCTCAGAGCTCTGTGAGGGAGGTAGCACAACCACTGCTCTCCCCTTTTTACAGATGAGGAAACTGAGGCTGAAAGGATGTGATTCAACCACAGCCAACTGTTGGAAGGAGAATTTGAACTTGGGGCTCCCCCGATTCCAAGGCTAGTCTTTCTTCTTGAGCTTCTGCTACGTAGTAGGCACTTGATAAATGCTTGGTGTCGATTGATTGATACTGCACCACTCAGAAAGGGAAGTGAAAGGGCCTGACTCACAAGCAGGAATATGTGGGTCCCTTCAGGCCTCAGCCCCTTGCAGAGGAGGGAGGACCTCACCCGACTGGCATGTGTGAGCCCATGCCCCCGTGTATGTGGTCCTGACCTGGGTGAAGAAGTCGTCTTCCAGGACCTGGTCGAGGCTGGGCCGGTCAGCGGGGTTGGGGGCCAGCAAGCGGGCAATGAGCCTTCGGGCATTGGGGGAGAGGTGAGCGGGCACAGGATAGTGGGCATCGCGGATGTTCCGATACATTTCAGGCAGTGGGCTGGCCTTGAAGGGGGGGAAGCCCGTCAGTGCTGTGTACCTGGGGTAAAGAAGGGATTCTGATGGGATGAGCCTGCCACGGACCCTGCCTGAGCCCCTAGCAGCCCTGCATCTGCAGCTGTGCACACATGCACGTGTGCACAGACATTCGGTCACACCCCATATGTTCAGTACTCACATGATGCAGCCGAGAGCCCAGATGTCTGACCGGAAGGAGTGGCCCTTTCGGGAGACAACCTCTGGGGCCAGGTAGTTGGGGGTCCCACAGAGCCCCCTGGGGAAAAAGACAGAAGCCCTCACAGCACGCAACCCAGCCATGTGAGCACACACTCGTACATCACACAGAGAGGGACACGCACACACACACTCACACACACTCATATTCACACCCAAAGCCACACACTGACAACCCACACTGGCACAAGACCCCAAATGCAATTCCACTGGCACACGAGCAAATCACACCTATAACCACCCAGACACTGATCCACAGTCACACACGCTTACCCATGGCAGTGCCCCCCAGGCCCCACTTTCGTGGCCAGTCCCAAGTCGCCAACTTTCACCTCCATGTTCTTAGTAATGAAGAAGTTACCTGCAGAAGGAAGGGATTGAGTGAGATGGCGTGTGATGGTGCACACAGGTATGTGCTGGTGTGTGCCTTTGTGTGACAGTGTGGGTGATGGTGTATCTGATGGGATGTGTGATGGTGTGTGATATATGTACAGGTATGTGATTGTATGTGTGTGTGTGTGTGACAGCATGGGGATGGTGTATCTGATGGGATGTGTGATGTGTGATGGTATGTACAGGTGTGTGATGGTATATATATGTGACAGTGTAGGTGACGGTGATAGCATGTGATGGCATATGCAGGCGTGTGATGGTATGTGTGTACATGTGTGACAGTGTGGGTGATGATGTATCTGATGGGATGTGTGATGTGTGATATATGTGCAGGCATGTGATTATATGTGCATGTGTGTGATAGCATGGGTGACGGTATATCTGATGAGATGTATGATGGCATGTGATGGCATGTACAAGTGTGTGATGGTATGTATGTACAGGTGTGTGACAGTGTGGGTGACGGTGATAGCATGTGATGGCATATGCAGGTGCGTGATGGTATGTATGTACACGTGTGTGACAGTGTGGGTGATGATGTATCTGATGGGATGTGTGATGGTATGTACAGGTGTGTGATGGTATATACATGTGACAGCGTGGGTGACGGTGATAGCATGTGATGGCATATGCAGGCGTGTGATGGTATGTATGTACATGTGTGACAGTGTGGGTGATGGTGTATCTTATGGCATGTGTAATGGTATGTGATAGCATGTGGGGCTCCCTCCCCTCCTCCACCTCAGCCACCCCTATTCCTGCCCCTTCCCCTCCACATACTGAGCTTGAGGTCTCTGTGGATGATACCCTGCTGGTGGAGGTACTGCAGACCAGCCACAATGCCCCGTAGGTAGTAGCGAACCTCAGGCTCAGTCAGCGTCTTTCGGGCCTTCAGGACATGGGCCAAGGACTGGAAGGAAGGAAGGAAGGAAGGAAGGAAGGAAGGAAGGAAGGAAGGAAGGAAGGAAGGAAGGAAGGAAGGAAGGAAGGAAGGAAAAGGTTGGATATGGTGAGGAGCTCTTCCGTACCTTCCCACCTACCCTCTCACCCCAGCCTAAGGGCCTGTCTATCTACTCTTTCCTCACAATAGTCCAAGGGCACAGGGTATTACCCCCATTTTATAGATGGGGAAACTGAGGCGCAGAGAAGAGAAAGAGCTTGCTCAAGCTCACACAGGGAATCAGTGGCTGAGCTGGAACGGCACCCAGGTTCTGCTGAGTTTCAGCCTTGGGGAGGCCCACTCTGGCTAGGTCCTAAGGGAGGACCAGCGCTAGAGGTGGAAGAGGAAGAAAGGGAATAAGCATTTACGTAGCACCCACTGCGTGCAAGGCGTTGTACTAAGCACTTTACAAACACTGTCTCATTCGATCTTCACAGCAACCCTGCAAAGCACGTGCTGTTGTTATCCCCCTTTTCCAGCTGAGGAAACTGAACAGACCCAGGTGAAGTGACTTGCCCAAGGTTACACTGAGGCTGGATTTGAACTCAGGTCTTCCTGAATCTAGGCCCCGTGCCCCACCACTGTATCACCTCGCTGCTTCAGCAGACAGGAATTAAAGATAAATTTGATGGGAGGGGGGAATCAGAGACGAGAGAGATTAATGTTGGGGGAGAGGTTGGAGAGATGGGATGGGGGTCAGGGATGCAGGAAGCCAATGACAGGGGTGGAGATGTCGGTGCTCAGGATGAAGGGTCAGAGAAGGAGGTGATGAGGTGGATAAGAGAGGGGCCTGGGAGGTCAGGGATGAGGAGGCCCTCACCTTGCGGCTGCAGTACTCTAACACCAAATAGACGTTGTCCCGGTCAGCAAAGTGCCCGTGGAAGCCAACCACATTCCGGTGCCTCAGCTGGCTATGGAGCTCAATCTCCCGTTCCACCTGCCGGCGAGAAGGCGGCCCCCTCTGTGGGGCAGAAAGGGAAGCATGATGGGGCTGGGGGAAGAACTGAGGAGGCTGGGAACCTGGAGGTCAGGGATGAGGAAGATCTGGGCGTCAGGATGGAAATAAAGGAATCAATGATAGGAATGGAGATCTGGGATGACACTGGGGTTGGGAGATTCATGGAGAGGGGAGATCAGGGATGAGGACAGAATGAAGGGGAGTCGGGGACGGAAACAGGATCAGTGATGGGGATGGAGTTGGGGATTCACGGAGAAGGGAGATCAGTGGTGAGGGAATAAAGGATGGGCAAGTTAGGGAGGAAGGAGCTTAGTGATGGGATGAATGTAGTCAGTGGTGAGGATGATAGGGAACATCAGAGATTGATGAATACATAGGAAGATGAGTGATGAAGAGTCAGAAAAGGGGCAGGTTAGTAATGGGAATGGGGTATCAGGAATAGGAGAGATAAGCGATGGGAATGGGGAGTGAACAATGGAAGTGGTCAGTGGAGAGATCAGTGATGGGAACAGGGGAAATCAGGGACGATGGAAATCAGGGATGGGGAAAACAGGGATTGGGATGGGTGTATTAGGGATGGAAATACCTCTGATAAGGATGGGGATCAAGGATAGGGAACTAAGGATTTAGGATTGTGGATGGGAATCAGGGATGAGGATGGGAGCCAGACATAGGGTTGGGGGAAAGGATCAAGGTTCGGAGTCTCTGAAAAGGGGTGGAATGTGTCACCTTCCCCCACTGGTCCAGCCCACTGAGTCTTCCCCGGGGCACCACCTTGAGGGCAAAGACTCTATTGGTGGACATGTCCGTCAGTTTGTAGCATCTGCCAAAGGCACCCTGTGTGTCACAGGAGACATGAGACACATTGTAAACATCCTAGACACCAGTCACTCAGACCCTTCCTAGGACCCGGCCTCAACTGCTCCCCAACCTCTGACCTCAAGCCGGTGCATCCTTGGGGAGGGGCAGGGGAAAGGAGGAGGGTTCATGCACACACGAGCACGTTTGCACAAGTACTAATCCCTACACTTCCCCCACTGTCCATTTATACTTGTACAGGTCTTCCCAGGGTCCCCTACCTGGACAGCTGTGGGCTTGGGCCTTTTAGCTGACCACCTACACGTGTATCAATCATCCTTCCTCTACACACACACACACACACACACACACACACACACACACACACACACACACACACACTCTGCAGCCTGGCTAGGGGTGAAGACAGACCCAGGAGAAGGAAACAGATGAGCTAAGTAAGTAAGTCTAGGAAAGTGGGCCAGCCAGAATGTGAGGATTTAGAGCTGGAAGACACTTTAGAGCTAACCCCTCTGGACACTGGCTCCCCTCCCCTCGCCTCCCCTCCCCTCGAAGGACTTCCCCTGCCTTCCCGCTTTACCCCCATTTATGCCTCACTGTCCTCATTCTCCCCTCTCTAACCCCCAGGGATCCAGGAGTACAGTGTCCCCAGGCGCCCAGGACTGCCCCTCCCCTCAGCCCTTACCGTGCCCAGCAGTCGCCCCCGCCTGTAGATGCGCCCTGTGTTCGGGTCCCGGAGGAAGGAGGCTACAGGCTCCTGGGCCCCCCGCCTCCTGGGGACTCTCAGCTCCATCCCCACCCTCCTACACACCCCTAGCCCCTGCCCAGGCCCAGCTGGGCTCTCCCACCCACCTTCCCTCCCTCTCCCTCCCTCCTTCCTTCTCTCCCTCTCCAGCTACTTCTCCCTCTCCCTCCCAGGCTCTGACTATGCCTGGGGGAGTCCCCGGGAAGGTTCATATACCCCCTGGGGCCAGGCCTCCGGGCCTCCCTCCCTCGGTGATTGGCTGTAGAGAAGATGGGAGGGAGGGGGAATCGGAGGAGGGTGAGAGCCCTGAAGGGGGCGGGGGGCGGTGTGGGAGGGGGAAGGAGGGAGGCGAGCCAGGCACGCACACGGCTGATGCTAGGAGATTGTGTGTGGGAGTTTGTGTGTGTCTGAGATTCTGTAGGTAAATCTGTGTGTGCGCGCGCAGTTGTGCGCCTTAGCGTATGTCCGGGATGTGTGAACGTGTGTCCAGTAAATATGTAAATGTGTCGCTCTCTGTGTTGTGTGTATATATGACAGTTTTGGGTCTGGATATGCGTGTCTTTGTGAGTGGGGATATTGTGTGTATGTGGCTTCCTCCTGTGTATGTGTATAAACAAAGCAATATATGTGTATGTGTATAGGCATGTGAACTTGAGTTCTGTTATATATATAAGATTAATTATGTGAACGTGCATATATGCACATATTGTGTATATGTGACTGCGCATATGAGGGCGTGCCCTGAGTATAATAGGGTTATGTTGGGCATATGTTACTATGTGTGTTTGCATGTGTGTCCTCTGTATGTATAGGTGCTTATAAGTCCCCTTCCCCACCAACTGCGGTCCTCAGTTTCCTCATCTGAGAAATCAGTATAGTTGCTTGGTCAGGAGTAGAAATGCTTAGGCTGCAGGGAGTCTTCTTTCTCTTTGTCCTAGAGCTTTGAGGCATGCCTCTCCCTAGGGGTAAGGGGATGGTGAGCCCTGAGCCTTCAGATCCTCTGCTAGCTGAGGGGAATCCATTCTTTCCTAGCAAGGGAGGATATTGGGAGTGGCTGCCCATTCAGTCTCCAAGTGACACCTAGGAATATGCAGGGTCCCCTCACCCCAACACTTAAATGCATTCAGTGAATCCAAGTTAGGTTGCATGAAGTGCCAGCTGAGGGAGGCAGACGGTGAAGAATGCAAGAACACAGAGGAAAGGGACAATGCTCAGTCTTGCAAACCATTTCTGTCTTCCCTCAGCTTCCTCATCTGTCAAATGGAGTTAATAATACTTGCCCTGTGAACGCCACAGGGCTGTTTATAAGGAAAATAAACCCTAGAGCCCCACAGAAGAGAAAGCTGGAAAGACATATGTGGACTTAGCTAAATGGGCAATGTGGTGCCCTGGAAAAGAGTGCTAGGGTCTGGACTCTGAAGATCATAGATTTAGGACTGGAAAGGACCTTAGGGGTCATCCCAGTCCCCTCATTTAGCAGATGAGAACACTGAGGCACAGAAAGGTTAAATTACTTTTTTTAGGGTAATACAGTTCGTAAGTGTTCCACTCAGGATTTGAACTCAGGGCCAATATTCTATCCATAAACCACTTAGCAGCCTCTAAAGTCAGAGGACTTGGGTTTACATTTGGGCTTCGATTATAACCTGTGTGGCCACAAGCAAGAAAGACCTCTCTGGGACTCAGATGCCTCAACTGTAAAAAAAAAAAAAAAGGCATTGTACCAGATGGTCAGAAGGTCTTTCTCCACTCTAAATCCTTTAACTGCCAGTGAAGTCAGCTGGGGGACCATCTATGCTATCCCTTCCATGTGGGATGACCACGATCCTGAAGAAGGTCTTCCTTATTTGGGGCAGAAGTCTGTAAAAACTGTATGTACCTAGGTGGTATGGTGGATAAAGCACTAGCCCTGGAGTTGGGAGGTCTTAAGTTCAAATCTGGCCTCAGAAGCTTACCAGCTGTATGACCTTAGGCAAATCATTTAACCCCAATTGCCTCCAAAATTTTTTTTTTAAAAAAAGCACACCTGTACGTGTTGTCTCCTCTACAGCTCTTTGAGAACAGTGACTGCTTTTTTGTCATTGTACGGAACACAGTACCTGGAACATAGCAGATGTTTCATACATGTTTGTTGATCAACACTTTGAACCTGCCCAATTCCACAGGCTGTTGACCACAAGCCTTGTTCTCAGACCACTCTCCTGAATTTTAGAGCTAGAAGAGACCTTTGAGTTCACCTATCCAGCCCACTCATTTTACATGTGGAGCCTTAACCAAGGTAACAAAGCAAGTGAGTGATAGAATCAAAATTTTCAGAGAAACTAAGTAAAAGCTGATGGTGCCATCAGGGGCTGAGTGGCTGGTCTCTTCTAGCTCTGATGTGGTTCTAAGATTCCAGGAAAAGACCAGTTTCCAATTTCATATAAGAAGTGCCCAGCTTCCAGAGTGATCTCGGTAAGTAAGCAGTGCCCCCTAATGGCTCTCAAGCCTACAGCATTATGGAACCGCCGGCAGCATTTCTCCCAACAGCGTTTTTAATAAAGTGGATTGATTTTTGTGGGAAAAAAAGTAGATAAGAAACACAGGGTCTGGGGGATGGGGGGAGGGAAGAGAGGCCAATGGAGCTGGGAGCAGGGCCAAGGGCATTGTCTGAGAGCCCATGGCTCCGCAGGGACACCAAAGTATTTTTACCCTTTTAAGCCCATTGTCCTCAGGAGCAATCACCAGCATTCTGGGGCAGTAACTGGGGGATCTTCAGATCTGGGTCTTCATTTTCTGCCATTTATTTGCTCTGTGACCCTGGACAAGACCTTTAATATCTCTGAGCTGTGTCCCCATCTATAAAACTAGGAAGCTGGGCTAGATAAGGTCTCTTGTATCTCTTTTGAAGAATGATGTGATTTTGTAATGTGATGAATGGAGTTAAGAGTCAGGAAGACCCGGATCTGACACTTAGCTATTATGGCAATGGGCAAATCACAACTTCCCTGGGCCTCAGTGTCCTTATCTGTAAAATGGGGCAATAATAGAACCTGCCTCACAGGTTTGTTTTGAGGACCCGATAAGGAAATATATGTAAGGCGGGTGGTGTTACATAAATGTAAATTGTTATTATTCTATGGTTCCTGAGTCCTAACAGCTCTTTCCACCTTTAACCATTGATGTTATAATAAGGTTCTCCCCAATTCTAGCATTCAATGATTCCACTGGTAAAGCCAGCACTAGAACCAAGGTGTCTGGATTTCCAGGCCAGGGTTTGTTTTCACACCAGGGCTGTGAGAGCAGGGGACTGCACACCCTATCCCCCTCCCTCCTGGGGCCTCTCCTCAATGCCTATTTCTAGGGGCTCTTGCTCAATTTCCCACTCAGCCCTCCACCTTTTCTTCTTTGAATCCGTCCAACGCCACTGTCCCTCCTTCTTGTATCCTCATCCTCCCTTGTTGAATCCCCCTCCCTAAGGATGCAGGGATGGGAGCGCAGGAGTGGGAGAATGAGAATCAGGGCTCAGGGTGGGATTGGTGGCCCAGGGATAGGATAGGGGTTTGGGATATGGAAAGGGACCATCTGCAAACAGGGGAGGGGTCCAAGAGAGCTCAGGGACAAGGACAGGAGTCTGGAGGTGCGGGCCCGTGAGCAGGAGAAGGAAGCTTAACAGATGGTTAGGGGTGATCTAGCGCTAGGGGAGGGCTCCCCAATCCCCGAAGTCTCTTTCTACTACCCCCCATCCCCATGACGGCAGTTCCCTGGAACGCGCCCGTGACATCCGATCTCCTTGTTTACCCAGCCCCGGGGGAGGGCAGGGCGCAGTGGCGTCCTAGCGTGGCTCCAGCCCCGGTCCCCACCTCTCTCGTGGCTGTTTCTCCCCCTCCTCTGAGCCTCCCCCCCAACACCCCCCGTTAGCTCGGCGACCAGGGCCATGCCCGGCAGAGGTCGCTGTGTGGTGTTCCCTCCTCTCCGCAGTCTCCCACTCCCCTCAGTTAACCCCCTTTGTCTAAAGCTGCTGGAAGCGGCATCCTGAGCTCTCCGGTCTCGCAGGGACACCTCGGGTCACAGTGTTGAGGGCTCCTACTTGCTTTGGCCTACCCGGTCCCTGTATTCAGACTGAGGACCCAGGTGTCCAAGTCCGGAGCAGGGGAGGTCTAGTAAGTAGCTAACTGGGGTCAGGGGCTCAGCTCCGTGGACCCAGGTGTCCGGGTCACTCCTGGGGATGGGCTGACTGTCCCCAGAGAGGACGAGTAGGAAGGAGGATCTCTCGGTAGCGTCAGGCTGGGTCCAACTCAAGGCAAGCTGGGCTTCTTGCTCTGGACCTCAGTTTCCCGATCTGTAAAACGAAGAGACCGGACCACTCGAGGATCTCCAGGGCCCTTCTTGCAGACCCTGAGTGTTCGGAGCTCCAGAAGGGAAGCGGGGGCGAGCTTGGCCTCACCCTTCCCTATCTCCTTCTCTCTTCCCCCCTGGGAGCACCGCACCCCGCGCTCACATTTCCCGGGCCTGAGCAGGAGTAGCAGAAATAGCAACGCCCGGGGCGGGGTGGGGGGCGGTGAAGAGCAGAGGATGGAGATGGTAATTGGGGGGAGGAAAAATGAGATTGGGAGAGGGGAGGAGGAGGAGGAGGAGAGAAGGAGAGGGGAGGGACTATGATGGCTCCCTCCCTCGCCCCGCCCCTCCCGGGACAGTGGGGATACCCAAGGTCACTGCACGGCCCGGCAGATTGGGGCTCCACGTCGCCTAGGGCCCCAGCTATGGCTCCGGCCCCGGCCCCTGGGAGGCGGGGCAGCCGGCGAGAATGAGTACTCTCCCTGTCCCCATGCCGCTCCATGTCCCTCCGTTGTCCCCCTTCCCACCCCCCCCCAGCTCCTGCTCTTGGGTTCCGGGAGCCCAGAGAGCGAACTCCGAAGGGCAATCCGGCCCCGCCCCTCCCCGCCCCAACCGAGCGGCTGGGGGAGGGGGTGGTCCCCAGGCTGAAGCTGCTCCCCCGCTGGGGAGACCCCAGTGCCCACAGCTCCGCACCTGCCAGAGCAATCCCCTGCCGCAGAGCCCAAGGGAAC